TGCAAAATGGTTCTCTTTCTTAGTTTTATGGGTTTATTAATTTTATTAACATGAAGTTATATAACAAAATGTCTTTCTAAATGGATGTTACGGATTAACTTGATTTTTAGGACGAAAATAAATGTATTATAACGATTTCATATATAATCACGTTTGAAAATCATAAAAATATATCATAATATTATTTTCTGTATTAGGACCCATTTCCTCGTAAAATCGTTCGAGGAATTTGTTTTTAACTCGTCTGCGTGAGAAAATATTATTTATTAAATTGAAAATTGAAAATTATTTAAAATAATAATAAATGAAAATATAGGTAATGAAATTGTAACAATACAAATGCATTAACATTTAAAACATTTTTTTATAAACGATAACATCCATATTTATTGATTAGTGTAGTTTTAACATTTTGCAAAGACATTCTAAAGTAAAAATTGAATAGTCATGGTAAAAGAACCATATATTGTCCTTCTATCTATGAGTCTATGACCATACAAAAACCATAAGAAAATTATTTTTTAGGGCTGCGTTTCAAATATGGTTTCGTCAGTATATTTAACTAGGGCTCAACATATTCAATTCACAAATTTCAAAAAAAATATATATTCAATTCATATTGTTCATCTAAAAGATATGGATTTTCTTATAAACTTTGAGGGCGGTATAGAAGAGCTTCAAGCAAATCAATATAAAACCACAAATTTGAAAATGAAGTTTGTTTTATTGTCAATCTCTGATTACAAACAAATATGAAAGTACAAAAGAAATATGAGATAGGCCACATATTTGGCTTTTATTTATTAAAAACTCTCAGTGGTACAACAATTTAGAATAAAACAAGACCTATATAACCAAACCAAACCGGTTTAGTTGTTCTAGTCGTCGTTTTCAAACGACCAGCTCCAAATGTCGTGACGCTCAACACCACGTCCCATGGCACCAGCAAAACCAGCATACATGTTTTGAAGAAGAACATCATTGAGCTCTCTCGGTCCTTGGATCAAAGGTCTCTTAGGTTTCTTAACGTTTTCAGGAGCTAACGTAATAGTCATCATCGAGTCTCTATTTCTAAACTCAACCCAAGCCTTAAACTTCTCTCCACTCCTCAAGTTCACATCTTTAAAAGACCAAACTTTCATTTTACCGACTCTTGTCTGAACCCAATAACCAGCTTTCTCAGCTACATTTGAAGTAAGAGAGTTGAAGTTGGTTCCTACATGGTTACCACTAATGTCTCCAAACTCTTTGTTCTGGAAAGTGTCGAATTCAATAAACATGATGTTGTTTTCTGGTTTGTCATTGTTGGTTTTGTTGAGGATTCCGAGGAAACCACCGCCGGAAGCGCCAGAGTTATCGGCGGTCGGGACGATGATAAAGGCTAGGCCTTGACCGGANTNTGGNTTGGTACGAGGAGTGATTGAGAAAGTGAAAGAGGTTCGGAATGAGTAAGGAGAAGAAGTGTTTGAAGACTTGAATTTGATTGGATTGATGTATAGACCTTGACCGTGAGAGAATGGGTTTTCGTCTCGGGTCATGGATAAAGCTCCGGATCGGCTTACACCATCGGAGGAAGGACCGAGCTCTGCGTCTCCGAGGAACAACAAGTTGTTTCCATCGAAAGTGTCAAAGTTGAATTTGACAGCGAAAACTGCGTTAGCTAAGAACAAAGCAAGAAAACAGAGTTTTTGAATCTGCATTGTGTTTTTTTTGTGTTGTTTATGTGAATGAAGTGGAATAAGATTGATGATGAAATAATTTTGAGGATGGTAATGTGTTTATATAGAGAGTTTTAACGTAAGCCAAGTTTGAATATTCAAATCGGAAAGAAACAAAAGATTCGAAAATGGTCAAATAAATTAAGCCAAGTGGACGCGTTAAAGAAGCGACCACAAGGGGACATTGCAGTGAAACTGGAATTAATTACCAAATGTCTTTCAATGAACAAACCTTATTCGAGTAATAATTTTGATTCTATTACGTATTCCCCTACGAAAACATTGTGAATATGTTGTAAAATAAAGAAATTGTGAATTCATATCTCGTGTACACGTTAATCTAAAGTCACTGACACGTCTGGATACCAACATGATTGCAGTTTTTTAATTGGGAAAATTACAAAAATACCATTTTTGTGTGTATATTTGCAAGAATGCCACTTAGGGGTGCCCATTTGCAAAAATACCACT